GTAGAAGACCAAATCCTGGTGAAGCTGTGATAAAGAACAAGAAGTATGTTTTTTCTCTCTATTATTTTACACATCCAATTTTGACACCAGAATTCCATTGTCACCTCTGTGACAGCAGGCAAGAAAATTTGAGGCTCGTGGCATGGTGATGTAATAAACCAAGTTGCACATTTATGCACTAGTACATTATTTTAACTTTTCCTGAGAAAATGAGGTCTCAGTTTTGGATGCTGGAAATGGGGCAAAATGCATCAATATTTAAGTACTTTTCAGTTCACATTGTGCGTGGATAGAAGGAAATAACTGGAATTTCTAAACCAAAGAGGATGATTGGTAATGGACAAGAATTTTCTCTGTATGAATATAAAGAAAGGGTGATAGCTGTGGAAAAATAACCTGGATTTGGGCATGGTGTGGATGTGTGGGAAGAAAGAAGGAATGGAAAAAGAAATTAAGAGCACATCAAAGAGAATTCTGTATTATCCCCTTTCCACGGGTGGAAAAACTGAGGCAGAGGAGCAATTTACAATATTCCACTTTCACTTGTCCTTGTGAGAGCCAAAAATTTCTACCTCCCAGTCCTAAACATTAACCACAAGGCTACTCCTCTGTACTATTATATCTGTTATTTGTTTTACCTTGTTTTCAGTTTTCAGAGTGCCTCTGATCTACATAAACATGTTGAAACACACGGTGATTCAGGTGCCTGCAGCTGTGATGTTGGAGGATGTGGTTTTATTTCATGGACTTCACCACCTTTGAGACAGCACTGCCAGAGACTGCATGTGCTGAGCGTACTAAACAGCAGGATAAAATATATTTTAAAATAATAAAATTTATTTATATAAAGTATATTTTATATTTTTATTATTTAGAGAAATATATAAAATATATTTCTCTAAATGAGGCTGAAGTTTCAAATTGATGTGCGTTTGGTTTCGTGTGAATTAATGAAATATTTTATTTTTGCATCAAATCCAGCATTTATTTGCACACATTTCTAAGACTCTTGGAAGTGTTATGCAAGTACCTGGTTCCTCCTTTTGAGTGCTTGCTGTGGGTACATGCAGTTTGAATTCTCAGAGTCTTGAACTCTGGCCAACCTCCTCCCATCTCCTTTTTTTTTTTTAAGGAAAAAAAAAAACACGTGCCAATTCCAATGTCAACAGCAAACTATTTCAGGGATTAAAATCCGACATCCGCTCTCTAGATTGGTACTCCATACTTAGAACTAATATGTTACCTGAAAATAGGGAAACTTCATCATGTGAGCTGGTCACACATTCAAATCCAGTTTGGGCTGCTGCAATTTATGCATGCTTGCTGCCTGTTTCTTCAGCTTCCTGAGCTGTGATCACTCCTGTGCTGTAAAATAAATATATTTTAGTGGGATCTGCTCCCACCCTGCTCCTGGAGATCTGCAGTAGCAATGGCCAGTGCAGAGAATTTCCACATTCACTGGGGTTCCTTAATCAGACAAGTTCTAACAGCCATAAACTTGAAATATTTTAGGAAGCTACTTCAAAACTTCTTCAGCTATTTAGTGTGGTTTCCCCCTTTTCAACAGGGGATTGATTTTTTTGTCATATATATTTGCAAGCCTTCTGTGACTCTAACAGTCTTCCTTTCCAAGAGTAATTCTGAAATATAAATTACATTATCTGTCAAAACATTTCTCCTGGAGTTATTCACTGACCCAACATTTTCAAAAAGTTCATAAACTCAGCAGCCATTCTCATTTCAGGTATTTCAGCTGATTCTTGCTGAGACCATGGAGTATTTTGTCTAAAACATTCTGATTCAGAGATCCAGATAATGAATTTAAAGTTTTCTAAAGTTTGGTTCCATTTTAGACATTCTGAATGTGAAACAATTTACTACTTTTCTTTAGGGTTTTTCATCATGGGAGTAAAACATAAGATGGTTTAACTATGAAATATAAAGGACTTTTTTGCTTTTATAGCTTTTACAACTGTGAAAATCTTGTCACTGGTGTTTTTAGAAGAAATTTTTTAGCCCTGCAAGTTGTATCCATGGAATAGAGTACAGAAATACATGAACAGCTTCTGCAGTATAAACAATCTGTTCCCTGCACTTTGGGACAAGAAAATCCAACAAATAAAATATTGTTATGAATATGTATCTCCTATTTTCTCTTACATGCTGCATATTTGATAAAAATTCCTTACTGGCATTCTCTTGCAGGTGTTCCATCACAGAAGGTGTCTTTTGTTTGAGTGCCACATAGCAAACAACAACTTAATTCATCTTTTAATTGCTGACATTATCAGTTTTGGCAATGTAATTGGATGTTATTCTTATTTTCTGCTGCAAACACTATGTTTGTAGCTTGTGTTTTTGTTATTTTCATTTTTTTCCCCTTAGATATAAAGATGACAATGAAAGTCACTGGAGTTTGGATGCAGCCAAGGTTTGGGGCAGGATCTCTAGATGGTGACAAATAAGTTCTGATCAAATTAAAACAGTTTTGGCAGAGATGGAATTGAACTGGGCTCGGGAATTCAGATATATTTCTAGCAAAACATCCTTTTATTGGATTTTTACTATGAAAAAAGATGAGTTTTTTACTCTTTGGAAGAGGTTTGCTTTCTTAAACAAGGCAAGTTTTAAAG